AATGGCTGCAATCTTCCAACTGTCTATGCACCCTTATAGGGTAGTGCATCTCGATCACGTGGAAGAAAATTAGTGGCCCGTTAAAAAGCCACTCGTTTGACTCTTCCTCAGTGCAAAGACTCAGGTACCCCTCTAGCTCGAATCTGAACCAAGGACTCCAATTCACCTGAAAGTTAGGTAACTACAGTTAGTTTTTTTGAATAATAAAAAAGCAACAACATCGACTAGTAGTATCAAAGTGGTCGTTACCTGGTGCTGTGTCAGGACGTCTAGCGTGTCCGAGTACTGCCGCTTTGGGTTCCTTCTAACTACCTTCGCTTCTTGCCAGACGTACAGAGCAGTTGGTCCTACATCCATGTGATTCCATGCCTGCATTGAATAGGATAGTCAGTCACAAGTGCGGCATCAAGTTTGAGGAAAATAAAAAATCGATGCACTTACAGATAAACCGTGAACAACAGGCCTCCCGACTGGCCATCGCTCCTAACACCAAACCTGTAGTAGGTGGGAACAGCCTCCTAGGTTGTCACCTCCTGTGCTGCGTCGGTAGGCAATGCAGAGCTGATGATAGATCCATGCTAGGACCACGCTACCCCAGCTGTACGCTCCTATATTCCCCCATGGCTGGCTCAGTATGTTGAGGAAGGCCTAGCTGACGGTGTTACCCGACGCGTCGGGGAACAGGAAGGTGCCTAAGAAGTGCCACAACCACACCCTAGCATACCTCTCGATCTCCTGCTCTAGAGCGTTTGGGTGCAGCGGTGCCCTGAAGTTTTCTGTTATATAGACCAAACTGACACCAGATGTTTTCCTAAAATATTTTGCAAACATTAAATTAGAGCTGACACCGGATGTTACATGAGAGGTGAGGGAACAAAAACAAACATTCAATTAGACAAAGATAATACGCATCATAAAAGTTATGTACTACACCCCCCATCTAAATAGCAAAATAATTTGCAGAATATGTGCTGGTGTCAAAATGGTAAATGTTTGGAACGTAGAAATTCTTACTTTGCTCTCTTAGCATCCTCATCCTTGGGTGGTCTTCTACCACAGAACTACTCCACCAAGTCCATCCAGTGATCGTTATCAGGGATCCTAGTCACTGGAAGACCCCCAACCGCAGACACAGTATCATCTTCACGTCTTGCATCGTGATAGTCATCTCGCCGCATGGAAGGTGGAAGGTATGGGTCTCTGGCCTCCACCTGTTGGTTTTTAATTCAATACAAGAAGTTTTTTAATTCAAACAATGAGACAAATCAATGCTTTATACTATCGCAAAGGTGTATCAAATCATACCTATCGACAGCAGCAGTGAGAAGTGCAGGATCAAGGATTGGTAGCCTAGTGTTGAAGACCTGGACGATCTCAAGGAAGCCAACACGCTGTATGTACGACCGGCATCGCTCATCCTAGCGGTGCGGCTGGTGCGTGCGTAGTCTAAGAGGTACCAAGTCCTCCTAAAGCTCTGACAGGCGCTTGGCTCGGTGGTCCTTGTCATAGTGCACCTCAAGAATGGGGTACTACGGATGATGATCCCCCATCCTGGTTCAAATTTCAAATGGATATGTTTGAATAAACATTAAGAGTACTATAATACGATGGAACATTAGTGCATAAAAACAAAGTAAATGTAAAAAGAATAAACTATTATGCAAAATTAGAGAATAAACATATATCATAATAAACATAGCTCCAAGGTTCCAATGTACTAACATAGTAGTTTTAAGTAGCATAGCAAATAATTAACATTAATATAATAAAATGTATGCTATATGCACCTGCTACCCTTGTCTTCTATCCCTGCTAGCCTTGTGACCAGGTTCTTTGCAAATAGAGCAAAGATTCCTACTATGGGTCTCGTTGAAGTCTCCCCTTCGTATATGTCTTCGTCGTACCCACTCATAGCGTCCATGTCCCCCTTGAGTCGCTTTTTCTTCCTCCTACCCTTACCTACCTTCATTAGATTCGGATGCGGCACATAGTTATAACCATGATAAGGTGGCCACTGTGTCGGGTCAAGGTATGGCTCAAAGCTCCTCTCCCAAATACTAACGGTGTTCGAACAGAGATACAAGAGTGCCATATATGGCAGATCCTCATAGTTATACCCGCGAACCCTGTAGGCCATGATCATATGACAGCAAGGGGCATGCATGACCTGAGGGACGTTGCAACTGCACTGTACTTTTTCAAGATCAACTCGGTAGTTTCGTCCACCATAACGTTCGCCGCCCAAGCTTATGCCACCCTTGCCCCGTACACTAAAGATATGGCGGTGGGGTCCATATGGCTCGACGGTGTGCTGCTTTGCCAATTCCTCGGGCTCCTTCAAATGTTCTGCTCTGGCCTTTCCAAAACGCCCCTGCTCAGCTATATTTCTCTACGCAAGTTCCCACCTCTTGATAAAATATTCGTTGCACTTATGAAAGGAGAACTCAACAATTCCAGACATAGGCAACGATTGAACTCCGGTGAATATACAGTTGAAAGACTCCGAGGAGTTAGTGGTCATGATGCCATACCTGAAACCCCCTCGTCATATGCTAACACCCACTTAGTCTTCTGTTCCATCTGCGCCTCTAATCAGGCCTTTCCCGCTTCATTTAGCATCTTGTCTAGTTCTCTCTTTGTCTCCTTGAACTGGTGCTCTGTACGTACACAACATAGAGCCTTTACCTTGTCACATACCTCCTTCTTCCTCTAACGCTACCAGAAATTAGCGGCAAAATGTCTCATGCACCATCTGTGCACTAGAGGCGGGAACCCATCTATATGCTCAGCTGTAGCATTAAGAAGCCCTAGGTGACGGTTCGAGATCAAACATATAGTGCGAGATGGACCAAGCACTTGTACACGTAGAAGCCGCATGAACCATGACCATGATTCATTGTTCTCTCCCTCTGCCAAAGCAAAAGCCATAGGTACTATCTGGTCCTCGGGATCAATAGCAGCAGCCATCAACAAGTACAACTGGCCGACAAAACTAGAATGCATGTTCCGTTTGGGCGAACGACCAGAACACACGATAGAGGACATGCCTCAACGGGTCCCGAAAATACATCCCTTCGGTGTCCACAAACCATTTCAAGCCAGGGTTGTAGTAATGCATTGCACATAAGATGCGGGGCACCCTGTTGTATGCTTCCTCCCAACTACCCCAACGAATCGCCAGGGCAATTTGCTTAGCACGCCAAGCCTTTCCGTACTTCACATCATAGTTAACGAATCCAAATATGGACTGTTGTAACGAAGACACTGAAATGTCGTTATTGTCATCAATGAGCCCCAATATACGACAGGCAAGGTAACGTGTAGTGAGCTGCTGATGATTTTCCTTCCCCCAATTTGTTAGGCAAGTGTGGGGTTCGACCACTTTACTTATCCTCCACTTGCCATCACTCTGTCTCTTTCGTGCATTTAACCTCCACATTCAACCATTTTTTCATATCATGTGGTACCTCAACTCCTGGTCCGAATGAGTGACGTTGTATGGCCTATGGTGATATACAGCATAGTCCTAAAGGAAGAGCTTTATCTCTAACATTGTGTTGAATATCATCCCCTTACTAAGGATTTCTTTCTCATGGTCATACAATGATTTCCTACACATCTGGAGACCAGTGTCACAAACTGCCATATCCGTCATGCTGACATCCCTATAGTTCGGAACGTCCTTGAAAGGTACGTTCATCGACCTTAGTTGCTCAAGCTCAGTCGCTGTGTAAGGTGGTGGTGGAACATACTGCGCTTCGCTAATTTTGCCCCATGAATCATAGGGGATATCATCTGCTGGTAAATCTGTGACTAGTCTACTCTGAGCCTGGATAGCATGCAAAACCTTAGTTGGTACTGGTAATGGTATACCATGAATAGGTATTGGCATGCCATCAATCGGTGTGGGCATAGCATGTCTACCTCCCTAGTCATCATCTGAATCGTCCGAATCACTGCTAACTACATCACCGATCCTGTCCTTCTCCTCCTGCTCCTCCTCTTCTAGTTCGAACTCGTTCACATCGAAGTCATTGCTTATACAACCTACTTGACTTGAATGAAACTGCTCCTGCACGTTAATTGACCGTTCAAATCCATGTTACCCTGAGTTGCTTCCCCTTCGACCCCTAATTCTTGTTCATTGCCTCCAACACCGTCAATGGACGGCCCGTCCAGGACACCCTGCATCCTGTACTCATTCTCCACCACCACCTCAGCCATGGGCACATTGAAACCTTGGAGCACTCTATTGTAGTGGGACCAGTGAGCAGGGTTATACAAGGGCACCAGGACATAGTGTGCCCTAGTCTTCCCAGTATCAAACCTCCCCTTCAGTGTGAAATCATTGTCAAACTTTGCATTCAAACGGACACAAAGGTCGTTGAAGCTAGGAGGTTCATCAAACCATTCAAATTCTTCTTCCATATCCTCAAACATACCACTTCTCTCCTAACACTTCCTCCATAGAAAACTCTAACACAACAGTCCATCTACAAAAGTGTTTTAGAAACTTCATCAGGTCATCGAAATCGTCGTGCGTACTAACTAACTGACTACACCTATACTAACTAATCTAATATTAATACATATACCAACAATTCTAACTAACTATACTAACTAACTACACTAAACACACTAATATTAATACATATACTTACTATACTAAGTAACTTTACTAACTATACATATCTAGTTAACTGCAAAACTATACATAACTTATATTTACTAACTTCACTAAATATCTTTGCTAACTAATTGTATAAATCTCTATCTAGTCAAACTAAATTTGAATCCTAACCCTAGCAAAAAAATTGACAAAGATGCAGAAGAGCATTACCTCGACAAAGATTATGGGTCACCACAATCCACTAATGGAAAGGAGATGGACGCCGGTGGTAGTGGCCGGCCGACAGTGGCCTACTTCTGGAGGGCGGCGGCAATGGTCGGCCAACTGGCGGCAATCCCCCTTCTGGAGGACGACGATGGGTAGCGCAGCAATGTCCTTCATGGCTCGAGACAGTGCGGAGAGATGGAGGGGCGACGACGAGGATGGATGGCGCACGGTAGTGGGGAGATGGAGGGGCAGCGACGACAGTAAGGGAGGCAACGAGACAGGAGGAGATGGAGATGGAGTCAGGGAGGACTGGCACACGGCGGGGGGCGCGGCGGGGGGCATGGCGGCCGAGGTCGCGGTGGGCGGGAGCGCCGGCCGGGGCGTAGCAGCTGCAGGCTCGTCGGGCGGCCACGGTGTGGTGGCGCGTCGGGCGCGGGCACGGCGTGGCGGCGGCGCGGCGGGCGCGGCTCCTCTCTCCAACCGGTTCAAACGGACCGAGTGAGACAGAGAGAGAGAAAGGAACGCGAGGCCGGGTATAAGGGGTTGTCGCGCCGTGATGCATGGCGCGGCAGCCCCGCACCGTGATGCGTGACGCGGCAGTCCCGTACTGTGATGCGTGGCGCGGCAGGTCCGCCGCGTTGTGACGGATGACGCGTCAGACCTGCCACGTCAGCGGTCGCCGTAGTCGTTGACTGTCCCCTGCCGCGCCTCCATGCATGGCGCGGCAGCGTGAATTAGCCGCGCCATGCAAACAGGCGCGTCAAAAAGTTTTAGTTTTGAAGAAAAAAATTTAAACAGTGTCAGTTTTAAAAAAAGTTTAAAAGGTGTGTTAAAAATAAAAAAAATTCACAGAGGACAACGAGTTGATGGAGAAGAGACGCGGAGAGGAGGCTGCAAAAAAGGAGCACAAGGAAGAGGAGGGAAGGAGGCGTGTTGTGGCGTATAGGGAGGAGAGGGAGAAGAAGCTTGAGCGTGCACGCCGAGCGAAAGCAGCGATGGAGGATAATCTCGATGCTCTGAGGAAGGGAAAGTGGCCCCGTTGCACTCAGTAGTCTCCATTACTTGCTAGTTTTATGGTTTATTTATGAACAATGTTGTCTACTGTTGGACTTTTCATTGTGTTGTCATGTAATACACTTTAAGTATAGGCATGCTTAGGTCATGTACTGCGTTATTTAGTTTGTCGGCACGTACTTCTAGTATTATTGTGTTGTTTAATGTGTCATATTATTGGACTTTTTATTATGTAGTTGTTTTTATTATTTGTGGTCATAATATCCACTTTAATATTATGGACATAGTGAAATATGATCACGTGACGCAAATAAAACGATGTAGGGCACATACTTCTAATTATTTAGGACGTAGTGAAATGTCATCAGCTCCATGAAAATGTAGCTCCTCTCGAGTCCACCAACTCATTAAATGAAGGCTTTTCATTGAACAACACAGGCACGCTTTGTATCTTAACAAACTCAACATATCTATAGCGATCTCTTTCCACGGTGCCTCCATGATATATGCTCACTAGGTTGTCCATCTAGTAGTTCAAACAAAAATTAAAATACAATTCTTTTAGTCCAAAATAGCTGCTATATAGTACCTCTCTAATAGATACTAACCAATTACACCCTAAATAACTATGTTACTAGCTATCTAACTATATTTATCTCACTCACTAAATCAACTAGCTATCTAATAATTATATCTATGTACCTATGTCACTAGCTATGGACCCGGAGGGGTGGCGGGTGCGGGACGGTCGGCGCTCTGCGCGGCGAGGCGGCGCGAGTGGGCTGGGGCCGCGGGCGTCCGGCACGGCGGGGCCGACGCGGGGGCGAGCGTGGGCAGCAAGCGCGGCTGGCGGCGCCCTGTGGTGTGGCGTAGAGAGAGAGGAAGGGAGAAAGGAAAGAAAGACCCATACGGTGCCAAGCTCGGCGCCAAGAGCCAAGGTGTCTGCTAAGTCACCGCCACGTCTGCATCGAGCCCAATACCTAGGCACCAAAATCTTTAACACCGAGACGCGTAAGCTTGATGCCACCAATGATGGCGCCAAGCTAAAGATTTAGATTTTAAAAGCATACCTGTGAAATTTTTTGAAAAAAGGGCTAAAAAACGAAAATTTGGCTCGCCGAGCACGGGCGGTGCAGACCAAGCCTCGCGTCAGCCGTCAGGTCCTCTTGCCCTCCCCACCGGCCGCGGTCTCCCCCAAATCCACGAGAGAAATTTTACTCCCCAACCCAACCATTCGACGAGATCTCGGAGGCCGCCTCGAGGTAACCAATCTCCCTCTGCGTAATTTTTGGCTTCCTTCTAGTTCGATTCTGCTTATCGCGGTTGGTGATGCGCTGTTCAACCCTAGCCCCGTAGAGAAGATGGTGTTTTTTGCGGCGACAAATTCGTGCAATATTGCGTCTCGCATCTATTATCTCTATCTAGGCGTCCGGGCATGCAGAGGGGGCATACTTTTGCGTGATTTTAAATTTTTAAAGGTTGTATTGGGAGTGGTTCCGTGCTTCTGCGGCGGGATTGCCGTGGATTTGGGGCTTCGATTTTGGAAGAGCACCTCGAGCTGTGTTGGTTTAGAACATCTAGATCTGTGATCCCGGTTTGGTGCTAGCCTGTTTGGTTTACCCCTTTGGCCTCATTTATAGCCTTTATTGGTCGAATTATTATCAGGTTTGGGTGCCAAATCTCCGCTTTGGTTTGGTGGATGAAGTTTGTGGTGCGAAGCTTGTCGGTTAGGCAGGGTGTGAAATTTGCTTCGATCTGATTAATGTCTAAATCAAACCATAGCCGGGATGTTTGTATACACAGCAGCCTCATTGCTTTGCTGGCGCTCTCTAGATTCAGTCTAAGGTGTACCTGAATGAATGACTTATTGCATATGATTTGTGATGGAGAGTTGACCATTGATTTCTTGATTTTTTTTTCAGGTAACTGTGTTCTGATTCTCGTGGTTCCAGGGAGATTAGTCTCGAGGTTGGACCTCACAATTTTATGGCCTTTGACTGCAACAAGGAAAGAGGAGTTTCTTCGCCTGATAATTGCTCTCGCGTTTGCACTGAGGGTACTCTTGTCCAGGCAAATCCCTTATCTCACTACTGGAAGCCTAAGGGTTTGAAGAGCCTCAACAAATTGGAGAACCAGAAGTCCAGTCATGGATCTGTTCCGAGAGACTCTAGTCCAGAACAAGAAGCTGAAGCGAGCGATGAGGCATCTGCCTCAACCTGTGGCGTCAGGTGCTTCACCGATCTGCCGGCTGCGTTGGTCTGCGAGGTCCTTGCACGCCTCGATGCAAAGGATCTTGGAATTGTATCTTGTGTCTCCACCCTCCTGCATACCTTAGCCACAGATCATCAGGGATGGAAGAAGTTATACTGCGAAAGGTGGGGGCTTCCAGACCTTCCCGCCACCCTGAATGGGCCCTTGTTGCCAGGTGCCCCCCTAGATGGGAAGTCCTGGAAAACATTTTTCGTGGAGCGGGAGTTTAGGAGTAAATCCTTCATGGGAAGATTCAATGTGGATATTCTTTGTGGCCACAATGAGGATGTACGTGCTGTGTTCCTTTTGGTATCAGCAAACCTGATATTCACAGGCGGTCGCGATTCTGTGGTTAGGATGTGGAAAATGGAGGAAGGGTTATTGATTGATACATCCCGTGCACTTGGTGGTACCATCCGGGCAATTGCAGCTGACTCTAGGCTTTTAGTGAGTGGAGGAACTAATGCCTATATCCAGTGTTGGAGGGCTGTTGAAGGCAATGATCACTTATTTCACATCTCTGGAAGTGGTACTGACCAGAATGCGGAGTTTCGCCTCTGGGGGCATGAAGGTCCTGTGACTTGTCTTGCCTTGGATTCACTGAGGATTTATAGTGGTTCTTGGGACATGACTGTTCGTGTTTGGGACAGAGCCCAGATGGAGTGTGTGCAAAAGTTCATGCATGCAGACTGGGTGTGGTCTCTTGCTCTGCGTGGAAATACTGTTGCAAGTACTGCTGGTAGAGATGCATATGTATGGGATATCAGGAACGGCGAGTTCACAAGCTTAGTTTCCAATGCCCATGTTGGTAACGCATATTCATTGGCTTGGACACACCTGGTGGATGTGCTGTTTACTGGTGGAGAGGATGGCGCTATTCGCTTGTTCAATGTTTCTGATGTCTCTGATGATGAGGAGGACATTAAACCAGTGGCAACTTGGGTGCCACATTCAGGTCCTGTTCATTCTCTTGCTTTTGAGTATCCATGGCTTGTGTCAGCCTCGAGTGATGGCAGGATTGCACTTATTGATTTGAGGAAGCTTCTGACCCCCAAAAGATCATCAAAGGGTCTGCGTGTTAAGAGCTTTGATGCAAGCGCAATAGAGCCTCCACAGAGGATGCTTCATGGCGTTGGATGTGATCTCTTCTCCATCGCCATTGGTGCAGATAGGATTGTATGTGCGGGTGAGGATGGTTCGGTTAGAGTCTGGAACTTCTCTGAAGCACTGGAGATTGAGAGGAGGGCACGGGCTCTAAGGAGTTTGAGGCAGGAGAACCGCATGAGGCGGAGGAAGGCACAAGTAGAGATGAATGCAAATGGTAGAAGGCCTGATCAGTGCTCAATAACCATTAAAAAGAACCAACTGAAGGGTGATAAGAGTACCACTTGGCACAACAAGCGTGCCATAAATGAGAAGGTAAAGTCTTAGATTAGGATTAGTAGCCCTTCACTGAGTTGCAGCTTGTCATGGCCATACATTGCCACCATTGGGTACTTCCTTGTTGGGAGTACTTATTAAGAGTTTATTTTCATTGAAGCAGGGTCAACTAATACTTAGTTCAACATTGGCACATTCAGATGTTCAACTTTATGTGGTTACAATTTCCAATTTAATATATGCAATTCTTCTATGCCTAGTGTATATTGATCAAATCGAAGATAAGTTCCTCAGATCTTTGAGTTCTAAAGGCTTGTGGTCTTTTAGCTTTCTGTTTGCAGTTTTGGGCTTTTGGCCAATTGAGAGACTTGGTAACATTACATTATCAACTTATGGATTTCTGTTACTGTAAAAGAATATTTAGTTTTCAGTGTCCTAGTATTTGTACTGAAGGCTTTCTCCCTTCTATAAGCAAGAAAAATCTTGTGCTTGTATGGCATCACATTCAATGGCAGGTTACATTTTTCATAGTAAGCTGCTACATGTCTGATCTCATTGTCGTTGAAGTGCGTATGTATGTTTTCTATTTTCAGATATATTATTACTACATATTCCACACGCTTCAAAAGTTTTGAGACCAGTAGTGGGTGCTGGAGAATGGCAATTTTACTTGCGAGAGCGTTTCTGCTGTAATGTGAGCTTGTTCTGTTCTCCGGGCGGTCCAGGAATTCAATTTATTTAGTGATGGTTTGATAACAATACTGCTTGATCAGGTGTGCTGTGCCGTAGATATTGCGAGCTTTGTCAAAGCCTCAAACGAATTGGATGCTAGCGTTTTTGTCTTTTCGACGATGGTGCTAAATCTTAAAGAATCCTGTGATTACACATTTACACTCTTCAGCACTCACTCTGATGTCTGGGCTCTACCGCTCTAGGCACTGGGCACTGGGCAGGGCAGCAATCCAACCCAACGTTCTGAATCATTGGCAATGTCAGGACGCGCAATTTTCAATGCCTGTCCAGTTATGCCCTGTCTGAATGATTGCTAATATTTTAGCAGTAACATAGCCATAAAACAATTCTGCACCCCTACATCTACATCATCCCATTGTTTATGCGTGTGTTAAAACTAGCGTTTTCATCTGACAGGCCATGCAGTGCCCACATGCTGCAGGTTTTTATCAGGAACTCGCGGTGCAAGAGAGAGTTCCATTTCCTGGGTGCTTCCCTCGCAGTCGCAGGAAGCTTGCTGGGTGCTTCCCTCTCAATCTGACCTAGGTTTTCCATTTTCCTCTGCTCGCTTCTGCCGACCGTTTGAGCAGTGCGATGATGAGCCTGATCGGGAACCCGGTTGGAAGTGATTGATGCGCCTGTTGTTTAGTTTTTGTTCCACCTACTAAATTTTAAGAGAGTTTTCTTTCCTGGGTGCTTCTCGCAGTCGCAGGAAGCTTCACATCGAATGTTTGGACGCTTCATACATGATGATGAGCATTAATTGATGCGTCTGTTTAGTGTAATTCCACATTAAACTAATTACATAGATTGAGATTAATTTACGAGATGAATCTATTAAACTCTAATTACATAGATAGAGACTAATTAAGAGACGAATCTATTAAATCTAATTAGATTTATGTTTAGTCTTTCTAATTAATACATAAATACTCGATATGACATCTACTAAACTTTAGTCCTGAATCAAACACTCAAATTGCGCCTTTCTTTGAATGAAGATGAAAGTGCAGCGCTGATGTGAGTCGTGTTCCCTGCGCCGCTGCGCGTCGGCGGCCTCTCTGAAATGAAATGCATGCGATGCGATGCGTCGGCGCGTAGAATCTCGACGTCGCTTTTGCTTGTGATACACAGTAGTGACTATATTATTTGGGAGCAGCTGCTGCGACTATCAAGTGTCGCCCAGCGATTGGCACTGCCTTCGCCATCAAACTCTTGCATGCCTGTTTCTAAAAAACTATCGGAATTAATCGGTGACATGCCAACGCCCACCCGGCCGGCACACCACCATGCAATGTCAATGCAAGTATGTATGCACTGAAAGGTTGCCACTGCTGACAGCAGGAGCGTAGTTTCTTTGGCCATTCAGAATCAGAGCTTCCCAGGGCATCCCGCAATGGCGGTCACAGGGGCACAGGGCAGCCCCAGCCAGTTATCTGCTGTTCATGTGAAAGTGACGAGGAGCAAGGGAAGTAGAGGGCAGTGTCATCAGCTGCATCTGCGTGCAGGCACGGCCACGGCAGGAGAGGAAGGGAGGAAGGAACAGGGCCATGTGTTGCTGCACCCTCCATCCATGTGACCCACCACCACCCTCCCAAGTCCCGTCCAATGGAATGTGATTGGATTCTCACACCCTCTCTCTGCGCCTCAAACCACCACCACTCTCTCTCTCTCTCTCTCTTGGTTCTCCAAGTCCACAGTCCCCATTTTCCAGGGGAAAAAAAAAGACCCAACAATTTAGGCCCTGTTCGCTTGGAGAAATTTGGAGGAATCTGGAGGAATTTGTGAGAGCATGAACAATGAATTTCAGCCTCAAATAGTGAATTCCGACTGAATTCTTTACCAGCCGAACGACCTCTTAGCTAAATCAAGGAGGGCCCACTGCCCAGAAAGCAGAGGAGGAGGAGCACTGACAGTGAACAAGGGAGGATGCCATTTTTTTAATCTGTGGATAACTCAACTTATTGTAATAAACCTAACATTACTTTGGATGTCACGAGGCATGACAAATTCGTCATACTATGTCATATAAATGCTGCAGAAACATAGCCCTAAAAATGGTCCTGTTCCAACCGTCTCCTCATTAGTAATTACTGATAAATGGACTCAAATCTTTCTTGGATTGACAGGGAAATTGGTTGGGGTAGCTTGCAGTGCAGCCCATACATACTATTGCCTAATTGTCATCCCATCGTGGTTGCCATCCCTGCTACTTGTACACATCTGAAACTCTCGAAGTCTCAACTAAACCAAGGCCATATTTGCTTTAACTTATCAGCCATACCTTTTCAGTAAAATAACAGTATTTTTCTCTCACAACGAATCAGCATCAGCATTAGTATCAACTGTTTTTCTAGTTCACACTATAGAATAGGATAGGAGGAGTATCCGCTTCTTTGCAATATCATTCATTCATTCCTTCATTAATTAAAGCCATCACATCACATCAGCTGCAGGCTACTACTGAACAAGAAATCTACATCACCACACTGGTCTCTGCTGCTCGCGTACACGTTAGCGGGCGAGCAGACAGCGGAGTGTTGTGCTCCAGTAGCGCTTGCCGCCGCTCTAGGCTCCACACACCAGTTGCTCTAGAGCAATTCTTTTCCCCTTGGTTTCCTCCTCTTTCTGCTTGCGCTTTTGTCTCTCTTGTGCCGCTCTCCAAGAAACCAATCCATCCATCCACCCGCCCGCACAAGGAATCGATCTCGACTCGTTGTCGGCTCGGCTCGATCCCCCGCGCCGCCGTCGCCTTTTCGCCCCGAGGGGCCGCCGCCGCCGAGGGCGACGCGTGGCAGGCAGGCACAGCAAGCGCCGCCGCTTCGCCGACGTCTGCGCCGCTTGCTCTGGCTGGGGTCGGTGGAATGTGTCAGATGTAGAGGATGGCCACGGCACCTTTTCAGCCTTTTTCCTCGTCTCCTCTCCTTCCTTCTCTCGGGCTCGATTGCTAGCGTCTCCTGCTGTGCTCCAACAGTCCAGCCTCCGATAGCGCCTGCTCCACAAACAGTTGGCGCTCGTGTCTCTCCTGTGCTCCACAAGGGTCAAGGGGGGCCAATCCATCCGACCATCCAAGAAATCGTTCATCCCAGAAAGACAAAGCGACCCACTTGGATACTAGATAAGCCATGTCCTTGCGGTGTCGCGTCCCCTCTCGATCCCGCGATAGTTTGCAGTGAATCAGCGACCTTTGAAGCGAAGACTGCTGCTCTGCACCGATCCGACGAAGGCAGCACTCGGGTACTGCTGGTTCCCCTTCGCCAAATTTGGTCTAGCTCAAGTAAGGTGGCTGCAGCTCGGTTTCATCTCTTTAGCCAGTCGTTTTCTTGAGATCTTGTGGGATCCGAGCTGATGTAGCGTGCGTGTTCTTGGTTGGGATCTCGGTTTCTGCGGCGAAAGCCCAGAAGACGCGCGGAAACTAAAGACCACCTCGTGAATGCTCTAGGCCATTGACCTTCCACCTCCCAACCTAGCTTTTTCAGTTCACATCTATCTTAGAGACTTCTCATAGTATAAATATTACCTCTAGGCTACTAGAAAGGTACTTTTGATGATTTGATAATTCCAGTGATATTGCAGCCGAGCTGCCGAGTGCTTACTCAAACCCTTGTTCTTCCTTGTTCTTCCTAGACTTGTGAAGAGATTCCTCTGGGATCCACTAGTTTGTGCTTTACGGGTTCCAGTACGGCTGCCCCGCCTTGTGTGGATTAGCTCCGGTTGTGGTTCTGCGGTCGTTCGGAGATCGAGTCGAAGTCTTCGTGGTTTCGGTGTTTCTCTCCCCGTCGCTTAGTCGCCTCCAACCTTGGCCAGGTATAAAGCTAGTTATTCCGCTGTTCTTCAGCAAGTTACCCTTTTATCCTCGCTGCCTTGTTGCAAGTTATCTTGATCGTGACCTACTGTCGTGAAGATCGGGCCAATTTCCGTACTGAAATAGTTCAGTACCTATCATCTGGTATCAGAGCTTCAGATTGACACGGCAGGTCTTGCCATCATCCACATCGTTATCCTTGATTAATCTACTTCATATATTTGTGTTTATTCATATCCTATAGTCCAAAGCCACACAAAAAATACCTATAACCATTTCGCGATACTGTTACGTTGTGTTTTGTGTTTATCGAGTTGCTAGTCACCACCGTTTATATATAAATTGAGTTGTTTCGTTCGTTACCGCTGTCAGTGTTATAAAAAATATATATAAAAAAGGAAAGATTAGTTTCAAAAAAAAGAGAAGTGAAAAGAAGTTGAAGGATATGTGTTGCGATGTATTGCTGAAAAATTCAGTTTACATATTTTGAGTTGGTGGTAATCTTGTTAGCAGCAACGTCGTATCTTTGAGCACATCAAACCACTCGGTTGGCAGTACCGTAGCCCTCCTTGTTAGCCACCTATAGCTCCACCAAAAACCTAAACCGGGACGTTCGATTCGTAATCCTTACGACCTCTCTACCACCTCCGTTGAAGCTGCCACACCAGCACCGTCACGGTCTTTGAGATCAGGAAAGAACTTGGGTAAGTAAGAGGTGAGATTGTGTGTTTTCACAAATTTACCTATTCCACTTTTTTTTCTTGCAACTGGTCTAACATGGTAGGATCCAATTCGAGTGTTCATGGTGGGAACCACGGAGATGAAGAACCCCCTGTTGCACGGGCGGAGCTACGCCAAATGACCAACTCGCTCTTAGAAGCGATGGAGAGGATGTTCAACGAACGTCTCCCTACAGCGGGTGGTCGAGGTCCACAACATCAACATGAAGACAATCACCGTGAAGAATTTGGTGATGAAAATTCTGGTTTGGGTGCTGGATTTCATGGCCACAACGGCAATGGTCAAGGTGGTCAGGGTGGAAGGTGTCGTGCTGATTTTGATCAGCGCGGTGGTGGACGACGTGCTGAATTTGATCATCAGCGTGGAGGAGGACGTGGACGTGATCGTCGTGTACATTTTGATGATGAAGATGAGGTTCATGATGAGTATGAGGAGGGATTTGATGATAATGAAAATCCTTTTGGTCACCATGAGCATTTTGGACAGCCACATGAACATCGTCGTGGTGCTGGTCATGATGGGGAAAATCCTCATGGTCGTCGCAATAGAGATGATCCGGATAGCATTGCTCGTGTAAAGTTAAGTGTTCTAAAATTTTCAGGGAAAGAAAATGTTGATGCTTATCTTGAATGGGAGGAGCAATGTGATCAGATTTTTAGAGTGCATAATCTTTCTGATCAGAGGCGTGTCAATCTTGCTTCTGTTGAGTTTTCAGGTTACGCTCTCACCTGGTGGAACCAAGTTCAAGAAAATCAACGTGTGTTGGGACGTGACCATATCAACACATGGGCGGAGATGAAGAGAGTGATGAGAAGACGCTTTATGCCATCAAGCTATCAGCATGACCTCCGCAATAGGTTACAAACATTGAGACAAGGATCAAAATTTGTTGATGACTACTTCAAGGAGATGGAGTTACTCTTGGTGAGATCTGGAATTAGAGAAGATGAAGAGTAAAAAATGGCAAGATTTTTGAATGGTCTCAATGAAGAAATTTCAGGTTTTGTTGAGATATTTCCATATCATAATTTGCAAGACCTTGTTGATCAAGCTATGCGCACCGAGAGGAAAATTCAGCAAGAGGGACGAAGAAGGTCTTATGGGAGCCAATCAATTTCAGCCCCATGGCATCGGCAGCAGCCCGGTACCTCTATTGGTGGGGGAAGATCACAAGGAGTTGCTACTAGGCCTCCTCCATCCATTGGTGCTGCAAAGACAACGGTTTCTACTGCTTCTTCACCTGCAATTCAGCAAGAACAACGATGACCTGCTGCAAGCACAGCAACCCCTCCTACTGCATCAGCTGCTGCTTCTTCTTCCCATACCCGAGGCATTGTTTGTCACAAGTGCCAAGGTTGAGGACATGTTGCTGCTCAATGTCCTAGTCGAAGGACCATGATTATAAATGAGCAAGGTGAATGGGAATCTAAAAGCGAACCTAAGGAAGAAGCTCCAATATATGATGAAGAAATTATGCAAGATAAAGGTGATGAAATTCAACCTGATGATGGAGACAACAATTGCTTCATTTCTCGCCGAGTGCTTAGTGTTACTGCTGTCCAAGAAGAGAATAATCAGCGACACAATCTTTTTCACACCCGGGGCATGATCAAGGACAAGTTGTGTCAAATCATTGTTGATAATGGCAGCTGCAATAATATTGCAAGTCAAGAATTAGTTGAAAGATTGGGACTAAAACAGCGGCGCCGCCCTTCTCCATACAAGATGCAATGGTTAAATGATTGTGGTGCGCTGCGTGTACCAAATATTGTGACCGTTCTCTTCTCCATTAGGCGGTACAATGATCATGTGGAGTGTGATGTGGTTCCAATGGAAGCATGCCAATTGCTGTTAGGAAGACCTTGGTTGTATGACTGAGATGCTCAGATTTGCGGTCGCGCCAACAAGATTGTTCTCATGTACAAAGGAGAGCGCATCACTTTGCTTCCCTTATCATCGGAGGAGATTGTGAGAGATGATCTGAAAAGAAAACAGCGAGCAAGCGAGAACCACTTACGAGTGACACACAAACATAGTGAAGGAGTGTTTCTAAAGCCAAATAAAACTCCACAGCTGCAAAGAACCGAGCCAAAGGGAAAAGAGGGTTTAGTGATGATGGCTAGGAAGGGGGATTTAAAAGAATTGAGTGAACCCAATGCTGTGTTCTATGTACTCCTGTACAAGGACAATTTTCTTGTCACTAACGACTTACCCTCTACTTTGCCTAGTGTTGTTTTTGATGTGTTACAGGAATATGAAGATGTGTTTCCTGAGGAAGTACCACCAGGGCTGCCATCAAAGAGAGGGATTGAACATCAAATTGATCTTGTTCCTGGTGCTCCACTCCCTAACCGTGCACCATATCGCACCAATCCAGAGGAAACAAAAGAAATTCAGCGTCAAGTGCAAGAGCTCATCAACAAAGGGTACGTAAAGGAAAGTCTATCACCTTGTGTTGTTTCTGTCCTTTTAGTTCCAAAAAAAGATGGCTCTTGGAGAATGTGTGTTGATTGCCGAGCCATTAATAACATCACCATAAGGTATAGACATCCCATACCTCGACTTGATGATATGCTTGATGAGCTTAGCGGTGCTATCATTTTTACCAAAATTGATTTGAGAAGTGGCTACCACCAAATCCGAATGAGAGAAGGAGATGAATGGAAAACAGCCTTCAAAACCAAGTTTGGGCTGTATGAATGGTTGGTAATGCCATTTGGTTTGACCAATGCACCTAGCACCTTCATGAGATTGATGAATCATGTGCTTAGAACTTTTATGGGCAAGTTTGTTGTTGTTTACTTTGATGATATCTTGATTTACAGCAAGTCTCTTGATGAACATATTGAACATATCCAATGTGTGCTTCCTGTCCTACGTGAACAGAAATTGTATGCTAACCTTGAGAAGTGCAACTTTTGCACCGATAAGGTAGTCTTTCTTGGATTTGTTGTTACAGGACAAGGAGTGGAGGTAGATGAAGAAAATATCAAGGCTGTACGAGACTGGACGCCTCCACAGAACGTGAGCCAAGTAAGAAGCTTCCTTGGACTTGCTGGTTTCTATCGGTGGTTCGTGAAGGACTTCAGCACTATTGCTGCACCAATCAATGAGCTGACCAAGAAGGAAGTGCTTTTCAAGTGGGGAGAAGCACAATAGAAGGCATTTGAAGAAATGAAGATGAAGTTAACAACAGCCCCAGTCCTTGCACTCCTAGATTTTGGTAAGACATTTGAAATAGAATGTGATGCAAATGGAGTTGGGATTGGAGGTGTGCTCATGCAAGAACGAAGGCCAATTGCATACTTCAGTGAAAAGTTAAATGGTCCAACTCTAAATTATTCAGTTTATGATAAAGAATTATATATTCTCTTGTTCGGAGTTTGGAAACTTGACAACATTACCTTTTCCCTAAAGAATCTGTGATACACTCAGATCATGAATCATCGAAACACCTTAAAGGACAACTAAAACTGAATAGAAGGCATGCAAAATGGTGTGAATTCATTGAATCATTTCCCAATATTGTCAAGTACAAGAAAGGAAAAGAGAATGTTGTAGCAGATGCTTTGTCTCGACGTCACACTTTGCTAACCCAACTTAACGCTAAGATTCTTGGATTAGAAAGCATAAAAGATTTATATGCAACTGATTCATATTTTGCTGAACCATATTCCAAGTGTCAAGAAGGCAAAGGATGGGAAAAATTTCATGTGCATAATGGGTTTTTGTTTCGAGCTAACGAACTCTGTATTCCAGATTGCTCTGTTCGAATTTTGCTTGTGTAGGAAGCCCACGCAGGAGGACTCATGGGTCATTTCGGTACCAAGAAGACAGAACAAGTCCTTACCGACCATTTCTTTTGGCCAAAGATGAGAAGAGATGTGGAGAGACATGTTCTTCGCTGTGAATCATGCCACAAAGCTAAGTCCCGTGTAAATCCTCATGGATTATACACTCCTCTGCCTATCCCTAGTGTGCCTTGGGAAGATATCTCCATGGATTTTGTTCTTGGTTTACCTTGAACCAAGCGGGGAAGGGATTCCATCTTTGTTGTGGTTGATCGTTTTAGCAAAATGGCACATTTTATTCCATGCCACAAGAGCGATGATGCTTCACATATCGCTGAATTGTTTTTCAAAGAAATTGTACGACTACATAGAGTGCCACGAACCATTGTTTCTGATCGTGACACCAAATTTTTGAGTTACTTTTGGAAAAAATTGTGGGGAAAACTTGGAACACGGTTGCTGTTCTCTACGACGTGTCATCCACAAACGGATGGACAAACTGAAGTTGTGAACCGTACTCTATCAATGCTACTACGAGCTATCCTCAAGAAGAACTTAAAACTTTGGGAAGAAAGTTTGCCACATGTCGAGTTTGCATACAACAGGGCAGTACACTCGACCACTAAATTTTGTCCATTTGAAATTGTATATGGGTTTAAACCCACTGCTCCCATAGATCTTTTGCCTTTACCTATGCAGGAACGTGTAAACTTCGATGCAAGCAAGCGAGCCGAGTTTGTCAAGAACCTTCATGATAGAGCTCGGACAAACATTGAAAAGATGACAAGGATATATGAGAAGCACGCCAATAAAGGTTGAAGGAAGGTGTTATTTGAACCAGAAGAATTGGTTTGGGTGCATCTACGCAAGGACAGATTTCCTGAACAACGCAAAAGCAAGTTGCAAGCCCGAGCTGATGGTCCATTCAAAGTGATACGCAAGATCAACGACAACGCTTATGAAATTGATCTACCTAATACTTATGGTGTGAGTACCAGTTTTAATGTGGCCGACCTATCTCCATTCTTTGGATTGGAAGAGTCGAGGACGACTCTTTTTCAAGGGGGGAGGATGATGTGACCACGCCAGCGTCGGGGACCTCGGCGACCTCTCTGACCACCTCGGCGATCTCTCCGACCACCTCGGCGACCTCTACGACCACCTCGGCGAGCTCTTCGACCACCTCGGCGACCTCTCCGACCACTTCACCGACCTCGGCAACCTCTCCGACCACCTCACCAGCTGATACACCACTCCAAGTCTCTACTGGACCAATCACCCATAGCCGCGCCCAAAAGATACAGCAAGAGGTGCACGTGCTACTTTGTGAATTTCAATTAAACATTGATGGTAATTTCGAGCTACCTAAGTCGTGCATGTTGTTATTACTCAGGTTCTCCGAGAAGAAAGACAAGGATACATCAAGGATGGATCAGAGAGAAGAGCTACGTTCGAGTCAACCCAGCATGACAGAACCATCCAGAAGAAACAGTCATATCTTTTGTCTCCCAAAGGCTATGAAGGTGAATGAGTACTTGTTGGAGAGATCTTGAAGCCTAATTTCCAATGCTGTCATGCCGACCAGTTTGGAGTGTCCAGTGTGGCGTCCGACCAGTTTTAGTGAAGACTGCTCCGAAGCTCAATAGTCTGCATGAAGCTAAAGATCCCGTGCAAAACTGTACCATTCTACAATAATTCGTGGTGCATAGCATACATGGTTGGAAATATGATGAAGTTAGCTTTCCAACGCATCCAACGGTTCGTCATTTGGACTTCCTAGGAAGGAGTTATGACCAAAACATTAAAGACTACACAGAAGCCCAGAAGAGGCGCGGAAACTGAAGACCACCTCGTGAATGCTCTAGGCCGTTGACCTTCCACCTCCCAACCTGGCTTCTTCAGTTCACATCTATTTTAGAGACTTCTCATAGTATAAATATTACCTCTAGGCTACTAGAAAAGTACTTTTGATGATTTGATAATTCCAGTGATATTGCAGCCGAGTGCTTACTCAAACCTTTGTTCTTCCTGGACTTGTGAAGAGATTCCTCTGGGATCCACTAGTTCGTGCTTTGCGGGTTCAAGATCTGCCCCCCCCCTTGTGTGGATTAGCTCCGGTTGTGGTCCTGCGGTCATTCGAGATTCGGTATTGCAGACATTAGAGCTGCCACGAAGAATTTTGATGAGTCCTTAATCATTGGAGCAGGAGGATTTGGAAAGGTCTACAAAGGAGAGATCGATGAGGGCACTACAGTGGCTATCAAGCGTGCTAATACATTATGTGGCCAGGGTCTGAAAGAATTTGAAACAGAGATTGAGATGCTTTCCAAGCTTCGGCACCGGCACCTTGTTGCAATGATTGGCTACTGTGAAGAGCAGAAAGAGATGATTCTGGTTTACGAATACATGGCTAAGGGAACACTGAGAAGCCATCTCTACGGGAGCAACCTTCCTCCTCTGAGCCCGTGGCCTTCACTACCTCCATACAGGAGCGGACCGAGGTATAATCCACCGGGATGTAAAGACCACTAACATTCTGTTGGATGACAATTTTATTGTAAAAATAGCAGATTTTGGGCTGTCAAAAACTGGGCCGACGCTTGACCAGACCCATGTTAGTACTGCAGTCAGGGGAAGCTTTGGATACCTAGATCCTGAGTACTTCCGGAGGCAGCAACTCACACAAAAATCCGATGTGTATTCTTTTGGAGTGGTGCTCTTTGAAGTAGCGTGTGCAAGGCCTGTGATAGATCCCACATTGCCAAAGGATCAAATAAACTTGGCAGAGTGGGCGATGAGATGGCAGCGCCAGCGTTCGCTGGAAGCAATCATGGATCCTCGTCTGGATGGTGACTTCTCATCAGAATCCCTGAAGAAGTTTGGTGAGATTGCAGAGAAATGTCTCGCTGGTGATGGGAGAAGCAGGCCATCAATGGGTGAGGTCCTGTGGCACCTTGAGTATGTGCTGCAGCTCCATGAAGCTTACAAGCGAAATGTAGAGTCTGAATCATTTGGAAGCGGTGAATTGGGATTTGCTGATATATCCTTTAGCCTTCCTCACATCAGAGATGGGGAAGAGGAACGCCACTCCAAGCCATCAAGTATCAGAGAGGAACTAGACACATGAGAACTTCTGACTTCAGCAAAACCCACTGAAAAATCTTGCTTTATAGCCATGATCTTGATATAAAGTTGTGTTATATTGTTATCTTAGTTTTTTTTTAGCTGTCTCAGTTGCTTTTTATTCCTTTGGGCGTTCTCCTGCTTGACAACTGTAGAATAATAGTTTTTTTTGTGTGTAGATTACCAAACCCCGCCAAAAAAAAGACACAGAAGTGTCAAGAGTTTCCTCGACATCTGTATCATGCAATCTGCATAACCACCGTTCATGTACTGCTGCCTGTGTGACCTGTATAAATGGCACTGATAGTTATAGTAATATCTTTGAGGATATATTGTTGACCTGGTTTCTTTCATTATTTGTATCAGTGGTTAGTGGCAACTTATTAGTACTCCCTCGTCCAAAATTATAGGCCGTTTTGGCTTTTCTAGGTTGCTATGCACTATACACTATGTCCACGTATGTAGTAAAACGTGTATACCTAGAAAGATCAAAACAACCTATGATTTGGAACTGACTAATATATCCTTTTGTTGCCATTTTTTGTTTCACCTGATTTCAGTGGCAGTCACTCGGATGGTTCAAATGGCTGAAGCTGCACTGTTAGGTTCTGGTGTACCAAATGGATTCAGAAGGTGGTAGTGCAGTTCCAGAGATATGTTTTTGCTCGCGTACGGCACAGTATGTCTGTAAGACATCCGTTTTGCAGTGATTCCTGAAGCGAAGAACTGACACTAACTTGTAACGGTTGCGCCAGCCGTTGGGTTCCCTCTCTGCGCTGCAACTGCCAGCGACGCCGCTCCAGCGAGTACAATCGAATATGGATTAGGGAAGGAATTGCCCCCCACCAGAACGAGAACTGGGAGGAGATAGAGGTTTTCAGGTCCCACGGCTTACGGGGATTGGCCATTGGGAGCAAGCTGAGCTGTACAGGAGGGCGACGGGATCAGGAAGATGCAGGACACATACAGTTGGGACTTGGGATTCGGCGGGTCGCCGGCGAGGTCTGACCGTGCCGTGCGCGAAGAAGATCCGACCCATGCCTGCCGAAATGCCCAAGGTTCAGACTGCACGAAAAAAACCCTGTCACGGCAACCTGCAAGGGTGTGCAGTGCTTTCTGATGAAATGAAAATATGGCACGCATATTACGGCATTCCGTTCAACCCTCCGGCGTGGTCGCTTGAGGGAGGCGGCGACAGCCGGGAGATTTGGGAGACGACCTCATGGTATCAGACTATCATCAGTCTATAAAGGATCAATCATGCGACATCTGTCTTCATCAGAAAGAGAAATCTGAGCTGCTGAAGTGGTGAACTGCTGATAGAAAACTGGGCACCTCGAGTCGTCGTGAAGCCGACCAGCGAGCGCATCAGAGCCATGCATGCCCAATGTGCGCCCCGGGTGCAGCGGTGGCTTCATCGGCGGCCGACGTGTGTGAGTGTGACCGGCCGGCGTCGGGATCAGCCAGACAGCCACCGTGCACGGGTCAGCACGAGTTGTAGCAGAGCAAAAAAAGCTCGCAGAATTAGTCGAAGTTAGATGGTCCTCAACGCTGTGCATCGCAGCTCTCTCTCTATATATCCATCGTGCACAGCGGAGATGACCGCTGTCCAGCAATGTTTCACGTAGCCTGGAACTCTTGACCGCCGCCTAGCGCCTAGCATCAGCTAACCTTTCTTCTGTCCAGAGCAAGTTTTATGCGTAACACGTTGGGAACATGCACCAACAGAGTATTGGAAAAAAAATGAGGAGTTCCATCAATATTTCAACACCAAGATGCCAAGATATATAGCCAAACCATAAGGAAAATTGACTTGATCAACTGTGATTTGCGTAGCAACAGCATGCTTGGGCCAGGGCCACAGCTGCGGGAGAATTCCTAATCAAGTTTGATCGCACGGCTGGAAGATCAGATTGATTTTCGTCGTCGCTTCAGCTTTGGAGAATTTGTGGGACGGGAGGAAGTCATGACTACATCATGAGTGGCCATGTCTGTTCGCTTGCTCGTAAACGATCGTAAATTTCCAGTCGGGAACAGTGTTTTTCTCTCACACCAAACCAGCCAGCAGTAAATAAACCACGATACGATACGGCCCGTTCGGCCTATGGATGGATCTCCCAGAACAATCTCATCTTTTGACGCCGGCGACGACGGGGCGACATCATCCGTGCGATCTGCCCGGCCAGTTGTCGCGTTAAGATCTGCCCAGTCCTGTAATCTCCTACCTATAGCTCATAGGTATGCCGAACGAAGATCACTTGTAAAAGACCGCCCCAGTGACCCAACTGTGATAACAGAAAAGATGCAAGCACTCGAATGTTTCGTTACAACCGTAGATATGTAGATCCGAGAAGCGCAGTAGATGCCCAGCCGCCGCAATGACGACGTATACTTGCGGCGCATGCCCGCCCGGCCAGCTGCGGTCTGCGGTTGGACTGCGGCAGCCGGCATGGCTCGTCTGACGGTCCGAGGCCAACAACGCGCGCTCGGCGCTTCGATGTCCGATCGGTGGCTGCCTGCCGACGGGTGTGAAACGCCACGGCGACTTCACCGTGACCGTGGTGTCCCGGGCGCGCGAGGTCGCCTGCCTCTGCTTCCGCGCGGTCCACGAGAACACCACCGCGCCGTGCTGGTGGCAGCCGCGGCGTCGTCCGCTTTGCGTTGCGCGCGCACCTGCAGACCTGCTGGTGTCCAGTCGTCGCCGCCGGCGCTGTAGAATCGCGTACTGCAGCTGCTTGCATGCGTAAACCCAGAGCAAGTTGAATTCAATGCGCAGCGTCGTCGTCTCTAAATCTGAAGCACGTAGCACGCACGAGTGTCAGAAAAAGCGGGAGCTCCGTCGTCAATGAAATCGTTCTCTTTTACAACACGGAGATGCCCCAAGCTACTCAAAAAAAAAACGACTTCACCGAATGCGCGTGCCACGTGTTTCAGTTTCAGCGTGGTCGGACCGTACGGTGGGTCTGATTGATCGCACGGGCGGGCCCGTTTCGAATGGTCGTTACTTGGATAAGAGGACACGACCTTTGGAGGCTACATAGGTACGGTACGAAATGGATAGTCAAGTTTGAACTTCTTCTCTTTTTTTTTTTTGAAAGGGGAGAGCTTAATTATATTAAAACATCGTGTTTACAAACTGGAGCTAAAACCGCCGACACGCGGAGGTCGGGGTGCCATTAGCAATAAAAACATCAGAAAAGCTCTCTCCTACCAAACTGACACAACACATGAGCAGCCTCGTTTGCCTGTGGCATTTGGAAACTCTGAATTCCTGGAAACGCTTAAGGACCTCCTTCGCCTCTTCGATAATGTGGCATATTACAGAAAGATTTCTGCACGGGTCCTTCAAAAAGCATACCGTGGCAAAACAGTCTGATTCTAGCCAGAGACGTCCTTTCCAGGAGGCGAGGGTATGTTTTAGCCCCACCCAAGTAGCAAGACATTCTGCTTCTTCAGCCGACCTGCATCGCTGATCGCTTACCATCCAGAGAATAAAACCTCGCCCACATGGTTCCTTGCAATGAAACCAAGCCCGGCATGATTAGAGTTGGGATCAAAACATGCATCCACATTTAGTTTTATCTAGTCGGGGAAGAGGCGATCAAGGCACTTTTTCTTTTTTATCAGTTTGAGCAGCAAGGATGGGCTCTACATGCTCAGGGCAACAGATTGCTCTCCCTTTTCCTAAGGCTGTCAACTTACTGTTTGGGTTCATCGGTGTGAGGTAGTTTTGTAGAAAAACAACCGAAGCAGATATAAGGCTTTCACCTTTCCCAAAGATGATATCATTTCTGAGATGCCAGACCCTTCAGAAAAGGAACATCAGATTGGCTCTTGTTTCTTTATTAACGCTATTGAGCAGGACCAACAACCAGTCAGGTCCAGTATAATAAAGGAAGGCTCACCTGGAAGGTCCCAAACTTGTCGGAGGGCTTGACGAAGAGCAACCGCTTTCGTGCATCGGACCATGGCATGGTATTCAGATTCTGGTTCCAAGCCACAGATTGGGCACGTAGCATCCGGGATTAAATGATGTTTCAGTCTGTTTGTTTGCACAGCTAGGCCATTTCGGGCCAACTTGCATGTGAAGACTTTTATTTTCTGTGGCACCTGTGTTGTCCAGATCGCCTCAAAATTTCTCCTGTCAACAGATATGCTTGTGCTGCAGTCATTGGTATTTATCTCTACAGCAAGTTTGTATGCGCTCTTAACTGAAAATAATCCAGTTTTTTTCAAAGTGCCAAGCGAGGATATCATCACCCTCATTTTCTGGAATCCTGATGCTGAGAATTTCTTCAGCTTCACGCTGAAAGAATAATTGCTTTATGAGAGCTTCATTCCAGCGTCTTGGATTTTTGAGGATCAGGTCGGACACTCTACGGATTCTGGTAGTTTTTGCCGGTCAAGAAATTTTTAGGGAGTTCAACCGTGGTATCCAATTGTCCCTCCAGATTGGGAATTTTGGATGTTCTGGCCATTATTCACTCTCCAAATGGTTCCTTTTTTTAGAAGCTCGAGACCATCTTCAATGCCTTTCCAAGTCGGTGAGGAATTTGATGAGAAGCTAGTGTCTAGCAGATTTCCGTGGGGGAAATATTTTGCCTTAAGCAATCTCGCGCAAAGGCTATCAGGGCTCTGTAGGAGGCGCCAGGCTTGTTTAGCAAGAAGAGCTTGGTTGAAGAGAGCTAGGTCCCGGAAACCAATGCCACCTCTGAGCTTTGCAGGCTATTCGGTTGGCTGGTTCGGGAAGAAATCTTTACTTTTGGTTTGTGTAGAGAAAATACTGTTTCTGCATGAAAAAGCTCATATAAACGATTAATGTGTAAGGGGGCTTCCAGCCCAGTTTGCCAGACCCAACCGAACAGGCTGTTCGTTTGGTGATTTTGTGTCGTGTGAGGGGGCTGGCCAGCCCAGCCAGCCAGCCAGCACCAGCCGAACAGGCTGTTCGTTTGGTGATTTTGTCCCAGGCAAGCCAATGAATTTTCCTTCTTTCGTGTTCATCTCCTCACCAAAAATTTCTTATCAATTGCTCGAGTTCATCGCAAAGACCTGAAGAGAATTTAAGAATTGACAAGAACCTCTTTTGCCCCCCACTTGAGACATATTTCTCAGACCAGTCGTTTTCACGTTTACTGAATCTTTCTTTTAAACTTCGAAATTTTCCTTCACCATTCTTTCTTCTGGAACCGGAAGACCAAGATATTTTTCATCCGCCTTTCTGTTTTGTGTCTCCCAGCAGCGGTTGACTGTCTCAACTCTCAATGTTGCCCTCAGAGCAGTTTCGTCCAAATAGGACTTTGCTGATCAACTGACCTGTGCTCTTTTCATACGTGTTCGGAATGTTTTTCACTAGTAGTGCTTGCTCTTCATTGGCTTGAACAAAAAGGAGGCTATCATCATCAAACAACAAGTGTGATATCCCCGGTGCATTCCTGGAAATGTGTAGCTCTTTCAGCTGACCTGTAGAAATTTCTTTATTTAATATAGTAGATAAACCATCAGCGACCAACAGAAAAATATACGGAGACAAAGGATCTCCCTGTCGAAGGCCTCGTGATGGTGTGAAAGAGTCGAGCATTTGACCATTGAGGCGAACTGACAACTTGACGGTTTTTATACATTCCATCACCCAACAAATCCATTTCCTGTCCAAGTTTGAACTTCGTACTGCAATCAAACCGCAACTTCAGTTGAACTTCGTGAGAATTCATCAATGCGCCGAGGAAGACGAAGCCGTCCGTCATGTCGGGGCGCCCACGTCCGAGGTAGTACGCGGTAACAGCTAGCAGCAGAAAGTAGACTCCCGGCCGACGGTTCGAGTACAACCAAAACCACCCATCTGACACGGGCGACACGGTTGGAACTTGGGCGAGGCCCGGCGCGAGCGCTGCTCTCGCGCGTCCTGTCGCGCACGGCTGCGGCACGGCACGCCCGGCGGCACCGGCACGCTTTATTGGCTGACGGGTGTGAAAGGCCGTGGCGACTTCACCGCGTATATATGTGTGCCCACCACCACCGTGTCAGGCAGCTGCGCGCGGTTGCCCCGCTTGGTGGTGCCAAGTCTCTCGGCCGCGCGCGAGTACGTCCACCACTCCACGCCTTGGCACGGTGCGCACGGGGACGCGGGCGCCGCGACCTGGCACATGCGCGTTGCCAACGGCTCACGCTCACCAGTCATCAGCCAAAGAAGAAGATTTAGGTTGTTTGAATGCCGGCCGTCACTTGCCACAGCTCTCTGGTGCGGTGGTGCTACACTGCGGCGGATAAAATCGGCGCCGCAAATTATAGTGAGAATAATGAAGATTTTGTTATGTTGTACGGACTCGTAGCTGCCTAATACTGCTACTCATCATCAACCAAACAGTCTCATGTAATATTACACCTGTGGCATGGCAGGTGGAGGTGAGGAACCAGGCAATCCCTTGGGGCGTCCTCAACGGGTTTGAGAAGTCACTAGCTGACCTCATATTCTCTATGACATGGAGGAGAGAGGATGTTGAAAGTGAACTTGCTAGCACTATTGCACTCGCTAATCTCACACTCTCCCCAATAAACACGGAGTCTCTATCTACCCTCCCATGCCTTTTTATAGATAACCACACGGGCGGCCCGCCCCTAGCACGACACTGGCACTATATACAACATGGCACTGCTACAGCTCAATCGTGTTGTGTTGTCTCGGCCCAAACACGATACTAGAGACTCTTAGGCATGTCGTGTCGTGCCAATGGGCACGACAACCCACCGTGCTAGTGTCGTCCTAGGCACTATTAGAGTTTGGAGATACCCATATTCATAGCACTCACAGATGAAGAAGGGAACTCGGTAGATTTTAAGAAATAGATCGATAAATCAAAGAAATTCAAGTCCATCAACAAACACAGAACAAGAAATATTTGTCTCACAAATCCACACATTATAGATTCACAACACATCACGAGGTAGGTCGTCGCCGTTGCCGTGAGGGAGGCCAGGGCTGTGCACCCACGCCTCCGCCACCACACATGAGGCTGCACACGTGCTGCCATGGGCGAGGCCATACACGCGCTTGCGCCACTGCGAGTGAGAGAAGCAGAGCATATGAGAGGGGAGACAAAGCGCAGCTGCGCAGGAAAGGGAGAGAGGGACCTAGGGTTTCGGTTGCAATCTCGTTTATATATGCCACTCTAAGCTCAACCAACGGTAGCATCCAACAACCAAAAGAGATCGGGTCATCATTGCCGACCCATTTATCCATGTCAGCACTCCGTGCCAGTAATATAGGCGGCCTAGGCACGACTCTGTGTCCGTGTCCATATCGGCACTGGCACTATAGATTTCATGCCGGGCCGTGCCTAGGATCGTTCATTGGGTCTGACCCGTTTATATATATGTTGCACCTTCTATATTTCCACGTCAAGACTCCTTACTTTTTATTTTTCTGTCCACTCTCACCTCCAGCTCAGCTGGAACGCCCTTCAGTGTGCATTCAGTACTGTTCATGTTCGTCGCTCGATCAATCACCTGGGCAGACCTTTCATCCATCTGGAGAGAGAGCCAAGTGAAGCACGCACACCCAAGTTGATGCTTGCATGTGCGCAGCGCAGATAGCCTTTTCGGCACGCCGTCCCACGTCCGAGGTAGCAGTATACGCAGGCAGACGCAGACGCCTGCCCAGCTTGTTGTCCATCGGGTCCGGCGGTTGCGCCTGGTGCACGGCGGCTCGAATCGTCCGCCGGTCCAAAGCTGCCGCGGCGTGCAGCGCAGCCGCGGTTGCTTTTACCGCGACGCCCTCGCGCGAGACTACCCGAGTCCACCGCACGCACGTACGCGCGGGCGCTCGACGCGCCTGCCCACCTGCCGTACGTCCTTGGCGTACCGCACCACCCGGCCGGCGCCCGCTTGCACGATGGGAACGCACGCGCTCGTGCTCTCGCCAGGATCGGTCGATCGACCGACGACCGCTTGCACGATGGGAACGCATGCGCTCGTGCTCTCGCCGGGATCGGTCGATCGACCGGCGACGCACGCGCTCGTGCTCTCGCCGGGATCGGTCGATCGACCGGCGACCGCTTGCACGATGGGAACGCACGCACCTTCTCCATCTTCCTCGTCTGCTCCGCCTACCCCGCACGTTTCGCTTCCCCTCTTTTAACAACGCCCACCACCGCCACGGCCACCGCCGCAGTCGAGCAGAGCGTCCCTCCTCTCCCTTCCTCCCTCTCGCTATCCACTTGCGGGCGTCTCGCTGAACTGGTTGCGCCGTACCGGTCGGGGAGCTGCGCTCCGTCTCCACAGCTGATTCTTGCGCTCTGTGATGTACGTACATGTACTCGTACTTGATGTGGGTAGATTTTGTCCTTGGATTGCTGGTGCTGTTGGGCAGCTGGGGTTTCTTCTCGGGTGGTTTTGGCTGTGGCTGGGGCGCGTGATTGCGTAAAAACCGAGAATTCCTCGGGGGCTTCTCGACGAATTTCATGTTCCAATTTGCACTTGTGTCGTTTAATTCTTCATTCACTGCTTCTGAATCGTGTCCACGTACAGGACCATGAAAACCCCTCTTCCAAGTCTAGATAGCAATTACCTTTAGTTTGCTTCAGCACGTTCGTGAGTTCTTCGGCTTGGGGTTGGCTGATTCCAGAGTGAATTTTCGCCCTCTTTCGACTTCGATTACACTTCTGATTTGGATTTGGGGGGCATAGAAAGCAAATTGCCTTTGCCATGTCTTGTCTCAGGATTGGGCGTTGCTTCATGTGCGTAAATGGCGTAAATATGTTAAGTTCCTCTAGCTTGAGGTACGATTTTATTTGGGACGTAGAAACCACTAGCAATTGTGCATGTATCTGTACTGTACAACGGGGAAGTCATCTGCTCCTCAGTTCTTTGGGGTCCTCAAAGATTCAGTCATCCTCTCTTCTTCTTCTGTCGGCGTCGGATGGTTATCACATGCAACTAGGAGGAGTAGTCATTGCCATCTACTATGGTTAGCCATTTTCCACACTCCAACGGACATGATTGTCCCGCCTGTCGCGTTAGGTGCTGGTTCCTTTCGGAGCCGCGAGTACATGTGACAGTCCTTGCTTGGTTTCTTAAGTTGGTAGGCGAATTCAACGCTGACTTTGTCCTTGACTTGGCTAAAGCTTCCTTGCAGCTGAAACCGGAGATATCTTAGCTTGGTGGTCTCACACTTTTATGTGATCTTCCTATCTTGTAGTAGTACACGTAGACTTTACTGTAGTGACCTGATCAGTTAAAATGTGGTAACTAAATAACGTACTTCAATATGTCACGGCATTATATTGCCAGCGCCTTTTCTCTCAAGTGGTCCAATTGGTCAGTTTTGAACACGCAAATTGTTGTTTACGCCAGAATTTGCCATGTGAATCCAGTGGCTACTTGCCAATGCTAGCTGTAACTGTACTTTTATTTCTTTTAAGATTCATTTACTATTCCAGTGGATCTATTGAATTGAACCCTTGTCTGATAGTCTGGTTGACGATTTGGATCTGAAGGGGAAATCACGAACATTGTAATTGCTAACTCTGCCTATTGTAATTAATTGCTGTGTTTAAGGCTTCTTTTCTGTTTAATTTTAGGCTCTGTTGACTAAATGAGACCTGCAAGAGCTAAAAGTGGCAGTGATTGACATTCAGATGAGTCCATTTGTGCTAGCTGTGGTGAGCATTGCATTTCTCAACTTGCAGTTCCTGCAAGCTCCTGGAAGCGAACTGCTTCTGAGCTGTGGCTCGAACGGCACTGTTGATGCTGATGGGCGGAGATGGATCGGGGACATGACCCCTGAGGGGAATTTTACCTTGAGCAGTCCTGGGCTTGCTGCATCACTGGTCGGAAAGAGCAATTCCGATGAGATATTCGGACCGCTTTACAGTTCTGCCCGTTTCTTTGATGCGGCAACTTGGTATACCATTAGTGTGCTGCCAGGAAGTTACTGTGTCAGATTGCATTTCTTCCCTTGGATTTTCAGTGCAAACAATTCTGTGTTTGATGTCACAGCAAATGATTTCAAGCTTGTTTCAAAATTCAATGTGTCAGAGGAGATTGCCTGGAGAGCCTCTGCGAGCAATTCAGTTATCAGTGCAGTTGTCAAGGAGTACTTTCTTGTAGTTGGTGCTCGTGGCCTGAATATTGAGTTTAATCCAAGACCTGGGTCATTTGCCTTTGTGAATGCAATTGAGGTCATGCTGACCCCAGATAATTTGTTCAATGATACAGTGAGCAAAGTTGGCAGTGCAGGCATGCAGCTTCCTCTTGGCTTGAGCGGCAGAGGTGTTGAGACAATGTACCGCCTGAACATTGGAGGTCCTGCAATTAAATCAGCCAGTGATCAGTATCTCCATAGGCCATGGTATACTGATAAAGCATTCATGTTCTCTACAAATGCTGCTCAGATCGTGTCTAATGTTTCAAGCATAATGTATGTATCAAGCAACGACTCGTCAATTGCGCCGATTGATGTTTACGAGACTGCAAGAATCATGAGCAATAACATGGTTGTGGACAAGCGGTTCAACGTGTCATGGCGATTCTATGTCCACCCAAACTTTGATTACTTAGTCCGCCTTCATTTCTGTGAGCTTGTCTATGACAAGCCCAGCCAGAGGATCTTCAAGATCTATATCAATAACAAGACTGCTACTGAGAACTATGATGTATATGCTAGGGCTGGGGGAATTAATAAAGCATATCATGAGGACTTCTTTGACAACTCAACACAGCATGCAGACTCACTTTGGCTTCAGTTAGGCCCTGATTCCATGACCAGTGCTTCAGGTACTGATGCACTTCTGAATGGTTTGGAGATATTCAAGCTCAGCAAGGATTCTGACCTTTCTTATGTGCTTGGCCATATTGACACGGGCAACCAAAGGGGTTCGTCAAAAGGGGGAAAGAATAAGGGTCTATGGGAAGAAGTTGGTATTGGCTCAGCATCTTTAGTTACAGTTACAAGTGTTGTTCTATTCTCATGGTGTTATATCAGAAAGAAACGAAAAGCTGTCAAGAAGGAGGCAAGCACTACAGATGCCCGTGCAACCAGTAAATCGTCCTTGGCACGAAATGCCTCTTCCATCGGTCATAGGATGGGAAGAAGATTCGGTATTGCAGACATTAGAGCTGCCACGAAGAATTTTGATGAGTCATTAATCATTGGAACAGGAGGATTTGGAAAGGTCTACAAAGGAGAGATCGATGAGGGCACTACAGTGGCTATCAAGCGTGCTAATACATTATGTGGCCAGGGTCTGAAAGAATTTGAAACAGAGATTGAGATGCTTTCCAAGCTTCGGCACCGGCACCTTGTTGCAATGATTGGCTACTGTGAAGAGCAGAAAGAGATGATTCTGGTTTACGAATACATGGCTAAGGGAACACTGAGAAGCCATCTCTACGGGAGCAACCTTCCTCCTCTGACATGGAAGCAACGGATTGATGCATGCATTGGTGCAGCCCGTGGCCTTCACTACCTCCATACAGGAGCGGACCGAGGTATAATCCACCGGGATGTAAAGACCACTAACATTCTGTTGGATGACAATTTTGTTGTAAAAATAGCAGATTTTGGGCTGTCAAAAACTGGGCCGACGCTTGACCAGACCCATGTTAGTACTGCAGTCAGGGGAAGCTTTGGATACCTAGATCCTGAGTACTTCCGGAGGCAGCAACTCACACAAAAATCCGATGTGTATTCTTTTGGAGTGGTGCTCTTTGAAGTAGCGTGTGCAAGGCCTGTGATAGATCCCACATTGCCAAAGGATCAAATAAACTTGGCAGAGTGGGCAATGAGATGGCAGCGCCAGCGTTCGCTGGAAGCAATCATGGATCCTCGTCTGGATGGTGACTTCTCATTAGAATCCCTGAAGAAGTTTGGTGAGATTGCAGAGAAATGTCTCGCTGGTGATGGGAGAAGCAGGCCATCAATGGGTGAGGTCCTGTGGCACCTTGAGTATGTGCTGCAGCTCCATGAAGCTTACAAGCGAAATGTAGAGTCTGAATCATTTGGAAGCGGTGAATTGGGATTTGCTGATATATCCTTTAGCCTTCCTCACATCAGAGAGGGGGAAGAGGAACGCCACTCCAAGCCATCAAGTATCAGAGAGGAACTAGACACATGAGAACTTCTGACTTCAGCAAAACCCACTGAAAAATCTTGCTTTATAGCCATGATCTTGATATAAAGTTGTGTTATATTGTTCTCTTAGATTTTTTTAGCCGTCTCAGTTGCTTTTTATTCCTTTGGGCGTTCTCCTGCTTGACAACTGTAGAATAATAGTTTTTTTTTGTGTAGATTACCAAATCCCGCAAAAAAAAAAGACACAGAAGTGTCAAGAGTTTCCTCGACATCTGTATCATGCAATCTGCATAACCACCGTTCATGTACTGCTGCCTGTGTGACCTGTATAAATGGCACTGATAATTATAGTGATATCTTTGAGGATATATTGTTGACCTGGTTTCTTTCATTCTTTGCACCAGTGCTTAGTGGCAACTTATTAGTACTCCCTCGTCCAAAATTATAGGCCGTTTTGGCTTTTCTAGGTTGCTATGCACTATACACTATGTCCACGTATGTAGTAAAACGTGTATACCTAGAAAAATCAAAACAACCTATGATTTGGAACTGACTAATATATCCTTTTGTTGCCATTTTTTGTTTCACCTGATTTCAGTGGCAGTCACTCGGATGGTTCAAATGGCTGAAGCTGCACTGTTAGGTTCTGGTGTACCAAATGGATTCAGAAGGTGGTAGTGCAGTTCCAGAGATATGTTTTTGCTCGCGTACGGCACAGTATGTCTGTAAGACATCCGTTTTGCAGTGATTCCTGAAGCGAAGAACTGACACTAACTTGTAACGGTTGCGCCAGCCGTTGGGTTCCCTCTCTGCGCTGCAACTGCCAGCGACGCCGCTCCAGCGAGTACAATCGAATATGGATTAGGGAAGGAATTGCCCCCCACCAGCACGAGAACTGGGAGGAGATAGAGGTTTTCAGGTCCCACGGCTTACGGGGATTGGCCATTGGGAGCAAGCTGAGCTGTACAGGAGGGCGACGGGATCAGGAAGATGCAGGACACATACAGTTGGGACTTGGGATTCGGCGGGTCGCCGGCGAGGTCTGACCGTGCCGTGCGCGAAGAAGATCCGACCCATGCCTGCCGAAATGCCCAAGGTTCAGACTGCACGAAAAAAACCCTGTCACGGCAACCTGCAAGGGTGTGCAGTGCTTTCTGATGAAATGAAAATATGGCACGCATATTACGGCATTCCGTTCAACCCTCCGGCGTGGTCGCTTGAGGGAGGCGGCGACAGCCAGGAGATTTGGGAGACGACCTCATGGTATCAGACTATCATCAGTCTATAAAGGATCAATCATGCGACATCTGTCTTCATCAGAAAGAGAAATCTGAGCTGCTGAAGTGGTGAACTGCTGATAGAAAACTGGGCACCTCGAGTCGTCGTGAAGCCGACCAGCGAGCGCATCAGAGCCATGCATGCCCAATGTGCGCCCCGGGTGCAACGGTGGCTTCATCGGCGGCCGACGTGTGTGAGTGTGACCGGCCGGCGTCGGGATCAGCCAGACAGCCACCGTGCACGGGTCAGCACGAGTTGTAGCAGAGCAAAAAAAGCTCGCAGAATTAGTCGAAGTTAGATGGTCCTCAACGCTGTGCATCGCAGCTCTCTCTATATATCCATCGTGCACAGCGGAGATGACCGCTGTCCAGCAATGTTTCACGTAGCCTGGAACTCTTGACCGCCGCCTAGCGCCTAGCATCAGCTAACCTTTCTTCTGTCCAGAGCAAGTTTTATGCGTAACACGTTGGGAACATGCACCAACAGAGTATTGGAAAAAAAATGAGGAGTTCCATCAATATTTCAACACCAAGATGCCAAGATATATAGCCAAACCATAAGGAAAATTGACTTGATCAACTGTGATTTGCGTAGCAACAGCATGCTTGGGCCAGGGCCACAGCTGCGGGAGAATTCCTAATCAAGTTTGATCGCACGGCTGGAAGATCAGATTGATTTTCGTCGTCGCTTCAGCTTTGGAGAATTTGTGGGACGGGAGGAAGTCATGACTACATCATGAGTGGCCATGTACTGTTGTCTTGCTAACCGTAAACGATCGTAAATTTTCGACTGAGAAATGTATTTTCTCTCTTTACCAAACCAGCTTGGTACGATAAATAAACTACGATACGACATCGGCCCGTTCGGCCTATGGATGGATCTCCCAGAACAATCTCATCTTTTGACGCCGGCGACGACGGGGCGACATCATCCGTGCGATCTGCCCGGCCAGTTGTCGCGTTAAGATCTGCCCAGTCCTGTAATCTCCTACCTATAGCTCATAGGTATGCCGAACGAAGATCACTTGTAAAAGACCGCCCCAGTGACCCAACTGTGATAACAGAAAAGATGCAAGCACTCGAATGTTTCGTTACAACCGTAGATATGTAGATCCGAGAAGAGCGCGCCCACGCGGTTGGACGACGGGACGCAAACGCGCGCTGCCGCACAACTTGCAGTAGATGCCCAGCCGCCGCAATGACGACGTATACTTGCGGCGCATGCCCGCCCGGCCAGCTGCGGTCTGCGGTTGGACTGCGGCAGCCGGCATGGCTCGTCTGACGGTCCGAGGCCAACAACGCGCGCTCGGCGCTTCGATGTCCGATCGGTGGCTGCCTGCCGACGGGTGTGAAACGCCACGGCGACTTCACCGTGACCGTGGTGTCCCGGGCGCGCGAGGTCGCCTGCCTCTGCTTCCGCGCGGTCCACGAGAACACCACCGCGCCGTGCTGGTGGCAGCCGCGGCGTCGTCCGCTTTGCGTTGCGCGCGCACCTGCAGACCTGCTGGTGTCCAGTCGTCGCCGCCGGCGCTGTAGAATCGCGTACTGCAGCTGCTTGCATGCGTAAACCCAGAGCAAGTTGAATTCAATGCACAGCGTCGTCGTCTCTAAATCTGAAGCACGTAGCACGCACGAGTGTCAGAAAAAGCGGGAGCTCCGTCGTCAATGAAATCGTTCTCTTTTACAACACGGAGATGCCCCAAGCTACTCCAAAAAAAATGACTTCACCGAATGCGTGTGCCACGTGTTTCAGTTTCAGCGTGGTCGGACCGTACGGTGGGTCTGCTTGATCGCACGGGCGGGCCCGTTTCGAATGGTCGTTACTTGGATAAGAGGACACGACCTTTGGAGGCTACATAGGTACGGTACGAAATGGATAGTTAAGTTTGAACTTCTTTTTTTTTAAAGGGGAGAGCTTAATTATATTAAAACATTGTGTTTATAAACTGGAGCTAAAACCGCCGACACGCAGAGGTCGGGGTGCCATTAGCAATAAAAACATCAGAAAAGCTCTCTCCTACCAAACTGACACAACACATGAGCAGCCTCGTTTGCCTGTGGCATTTGGAAACTCTGAATTCCTGGAAACGCTTAAGGACCTCCTTCGCCTCTTCGATAATGTGGCATATTACAGAAAGATTTCTGCACGGGTCCTTCAAAAAGCATACCGTGGCAAAACAGTCTGATTCTAGCCAGAGATGTCCTTTCCAGGAGGCAAGGGTATGTTTTAGCCCCACCCAAGTAGCAAGACATTCTGCTTCTTCAGCCGACCTGCATCACTGATCGCTTACCATCCAGAGAATAAAACCTCGCCCACATGGTTCCTTGCAATGAAACCAAGCCCGGCATGATCACAGTTGGGATCAAAACATGCATCCACATTTAGTTTTATCTAGTCGGGGGAAGAGGCGATCAAGGCACTTTTTCTTTTTTATCAGTTTGAGCAGCAAGGATGGGCTCTACATGCTCAGGGCAACAGATTGCTCTCCCTTTTCCTAAGGCTGTCAACTTACTGTTTGGGTTCATCCGTGTGAGGTAGTTTTGTAGAAAAACAACCGAGGCAGATATAAGGCTTTCACCTTTCCCAAAGATGATATCATTTCTGAGATGCCAGACCCTCCAGAAAAGGAACATCAGATTGGCTCTTGTTTCTTTATTAACGCTATTGAGCAGGACCAACAACCAGTCAGGTCCTGTATAATAAAGGAAGGCTGACCTGGAAGGTCCCAAACTTGTCGGAGGGCTTGACGAAGAGCAACCGCTTTCGTAAATCGGACCATGGCATGGTATTCAGATTCTGGTTCCAAGCCACAGATTGGGCACGTAGCATCCGGGATTAAATGATGTTTCAGTCTGTTTGTTTGCACAGCTAGGCCATTTTGGGCCAACTTGCATGTGAAGACTTTTATTTTCTGTGGCACCTGTGTTGTCCAGATCGCCTCAAAATTTCTCCTGTCAACAGATATGCTTGTGCTGCAGTCATTGGTATTTATCTCTACAGCAAGTTTGTATGCGCTCTTAACTGAAAATAATCCAGTTTTTTTCAAAGTGCCAAGCGAGGATATCATCACCCTCATTTTCTGGAATCCTGATGCTGAGAATTTCTTCAGCTTCACGCTGAAAGAATAATTGCTTTATGAGAGCTTCATTCCAGCGTCTTGGATTTTTGAGGATCAGGTCGGACACTCTACGGATTCTGGTAGTTTTTGCCGGTCAAGAAATTTTTAGGGAGTTCAACCGTGGTATCCAATTGTCCCTCCAGATTTGGAATTTTGGATGTTCTGGCCATTATTCACTCTCCAAATGGTTCCTTTTTTTAGAAGCTCGAGACCATCTTCAATGCCTTTCCAAGTCGGTGAGGAATTTGATGGGAAGCTAGTGTCTAGCAGATTTCCGTGGGGGAAATATTTTGCCTTAAGCAATCTCGCGCAAAGGCTATCAGGGCTCTGTAGGAGGCGCCAGGCTTGTTTAGCAAGAAGAGCTTGGTTGAAGAGAGCTAGGTCCCGGAAACCAATGCCACCTCTGAGCTTTGCAGCCTATTCGGTTGGCTGGTTCGGGAAGAAGTACTGCTGGCTGGTTTGTGGGAGAAAAATACTGTTCTGCATGAAAAACACTGTTCATATAAACAGTGTCGTGTGAGGGGGCTGGCCAGCCCAGCCAGCCAGCCAGCACCAGCCGAACAGGCTGTTCGTTTGGTGATTTTGTCCCAGGCAAGCCAATGAATTTTCCTTCTTTCGTGTTCATCTCCTCACCAAAAATTTCTTAT